TTATTGTTAACGTGAGAACTTTTAAATAATTCATGACCATTTAAACGTTCAAACAAGTGTCAATATGTTTAAAACAATATTGTGATGCTTTTTATTTTTAGTAACGGATTTGGTCATTATGCAAAAACAAACAAATAAAGATGGGCCCACATTTAGGCTTTGTGCTTTTGTTTTCAAATGACGAGCATGATTTGTTGATTAAAAGTATAATGCCACCATTTATAGAGTTGCTAAGGTCGATTACTGCAATGACATTAAAATGTGACAGCGTTTTAAGCGAAGTGTTCAAGATTCGTTTCCGTATCCTGCAGTTGGACTTCATTTCTAGACCTATTCCTTTGAAGTATGCGAAGTAACAACCTTAACGTTTTCTCAAATAATTTATTATACAACAGATAAAGTATAAAGCATTAAAAATGCATTCATTTTATCTGTTCGCACATCTATTTTTTTCACCCCCGCTAAGTTTTCCTATCTGGAAGCGAAGCTGTTAATAAAATAAAAATGCACCGCCGTAAGCCGCAGTAAATAGTCGCGCTCTCCACTTGCGAGCTAAGCCAAAAAACTGCAACTGCCTCTTAATAAATTATACATGCATCTATTTATAGGCAGACTCATTAATTTCATGTTTCTACATCTTTCGGTGAATTCTTCGCCTTCATCTTGTTTTATTTTTTAAAGTTTATTGACATATTGTTGGAGCCAAAAAATATCTATCCATTTTTACATGCTTATATTATCCGCAATCCGTTTATCCACAAGGAAACAAAACGTTTGCTTTATAAACACAGTATACCACTGTCAGCACATTCGACCTTATCAACACATGCGTGACCTCGTCACCTATGACTGATTTGCACTTTGACAGTAACACCACTCCAATCAGAGCTCTATCTTTGACTCTCTTCGTAGTGGATAACGAACTTTACTTGGGAATTGCTACCGCTGGAAGATCAAATAGTATTGGTTAATTCCTTATCGCGCTTTGAGGGATTTGAGATAAATCTTGCATCTGTCATAATTACTGACTGACGTATACATGTCGGTAATTTAATATTATGGCATATAATCTTAACATAATGGTACATAGAATTTTTGCCATCTCATTGGATATGTATAAACTAATTAATGTTGTTTTATCTACTTTGAATAGTAAATATTTACATTTTTGTAATTTGGGAAGATACATCTTAAGCCTTTAAAACCTTTGGATAGTATTAATTCTAATTTAAATTCAGCCGCATGAAGTTAGAAGTTATCTTCTCTGATCCGTCACGCTTCCCGCCAATAAATCTCCGTGGATCTCCTCCCTTCTGTATAAATAAGGTAGATCTTGTTAAAACTCGCGGCATAAAAAGTGCTCCCGCATTTTCCGCTATTTTTAAACCGAAACGTTCCCCTTAAGGAGGCTTCCGGTATCGTAAAATATGTAGATATGCATTCACCTGGCCCACCGGCAAATTTAGAGCATCAATTTATCCCAACAGAAACATTGTAAATACGGGCCACTTCTTCGAAAGCGCCCCGAATAGATTTGTGAGGTTCCGTGCCTCTGCATAATAGGTGTAAGCGTTAACACTGTGTACAAAGGTTCAATAAACGATCCGCTATCTTGTAATTTAGATTATGGTTTATTCCATTACACTACTATGTAACTTTTACATAATACATTTATTTATTATAATTATCTAACGCAATATGCATGTTTTCAATAATTTGGACTATGTTTTTTAACTCTTTTTTTAGAATTTTCAACGGTACTACATTTTTCAGAAGTTCTTCGAACATCCCATATATCCAAATGTTTAGGAATGTAAATTTTATTTATATTGTACAACGTATTATTCATCCATATCCTAATTCAGTTTCAAATAAATTCCAGCCATATGCAATATATAAATAAATAATTGATTCAGGAATCGTCAAACCAATAAATATAATTGTCAACAATTCTGTAACTACTACAATTAAATGTTGCATTGGCCCGCATAGTGACACATTCAATGCGCCCTGGCATCCGACATTCAATTTAAAATAGACGTTACAATTATCTCATTACTCATTAATTACTCAACGTGAACATGAAGTATCTAGGAGCGCGTGTCTTTATTATCGTACTGCGCATTGATATACGACGAAAACATTTACGAGTACCAACATATACCAACATATGCATATACTTTACTATGCCTACACTGTAATAATAGAATTCTACAATTCTATACTCTTTACAATTTTTACCATTTACCTAATAAAACAATTGAACGTTACGAAACAGAGGATCTAATTTTTATTTAATTATTTGATTTTTAACAATTAAAAAACTAAGATTCATTGCTTTGTTTAATATATTTGTTTATGATAATTATTTAGCTTATGTTTTCTTGATACTATTTTATAAAAAAGTTTTTATGACTACATTATAAAAACAAGTAATTTTAATATGATTTAATACTTTTGTGATAGATATGAAAATGTAACATTATTACATTAATGTTGTTAGTCTACAACAAGGTGTGGATTCGAACAGATTTAGTGTATATCTCTTGCTATAAATTACAAAGCTCAGCTCTGAATTCTAACTGCGAGAACCTAATACAAATTATGAGCTTTTTCTAAATTAAACCGCGATACGAACGCAAAATAAGCTTAATGTATTATTTTCACATCTATGTATATATTAAACGATTATTAAGCTTTTATTATTTACTTTAAAGCTACCAATTAAATTGATACTGTTAGTATTAAGATAATTAAGAGAGATGAATATCAAGTACAGGGAGAACGTTAGTTGTGAGCATGGAGGTACACCGGTAGAGGTAGACCTAGAAAGAGATGGATAGATTGCGTGTAAGGTGTCATGATCAAGAATGGTGTGGTGAAGAGTTATATGGAGGACAAAAACCTGTTGCGTCGACCCTACGGGAGTAGGATAAGGAGGAAGATGATGACTCTTAGTATTAAGATAGTGTAATGTAAAACAACACGTTGAAATATAAAAGTTGTGTTCTATAAGAATTTATTAAAATGTAAAATGACTCAGAGTCATCAATCAATCTTCAAATCGATTCTATTCCGGCGTCCATTACTCGCTAGTCCAATATATCCATACATTTAACTCATCACTTCATCTAAAATCAACATTATCTCACGTTGTACGTAACTCTGTAACGCAGGTGTTAAAAGCATATTACGCCTAACAAACAGGCGTTAAGCTTTAGGATTCGGCGGACTATGGCCCGCTTAAAATGGCCGAAGATTACCCGCTCAGCGGACTTGTATCTAAAATTAATGTTACACCTCAAACTTTGCGACTTTATTATGCTGTAATTACATCTTTTAAGATTATTATAGCATTACGTACCTTCTTTATCATCCACTAATTTTATCCGTTTTATAAAAAAGAAGTACCATTCAAATTAAATTAATACCTTCGATAATTTTAAGACTTCAAAGCGTTAAATCGTCGATTAAATGAGACATACGAAAAAGTGTAAATTAAAAATTGTAATATATTCCAGTCTGTTTGTTTTCAAAAGAATTTGATATTAATGCAAGTGACAGTACTATATCAAACAAACGACATCTATAATTACTGTGCGGTACGACACATAAATAACTGCGCTCTACGCCTTCAGCAAGTCTATGAGCGCTCTCGTTATAGGCGTGCCAAGTTTTTCTCAGAAGCTAATCAATAATGTGTAGACATATTGAAAAGCGTGCGAGCGCTAACGGCGCGCACACACGCCACCTTTAATTTCGTTATCACGAGCGCAAGTGTGCACTTATTCAAAGAGCATTTACTTTGTATTTATATCACTCACGCAATCGCTTCTCCCAGCTTCTATATAGCTTATTAACTCCTTATTTTCTCGGCTGGCGAGCGGCGAAACTTCGAGACGTTTATACGACTTCATCGAACGCCGACCGACCGCCGAGCGCCGAGATTACCTTGTTTATCCTTTGATAATGTTTGCGAAAGTTTGTCAATTTCGGTGACGTACCGCTCGGCCCGTTTAGCGTTTTCGTTAATTCTGCGTACGCCCGGCTCGCACGAATTTGCATTTTGCACGCGTGATAAGTGGTCCGGATTACATGGGATTCCGACCAACAGCCTCTGTTTGTTCTGAAATAAAGGGCTGTTAAACTTTTTTTCATGGTAATTTGGGTCACCTTCAGAAGTAATGATCATTGTAAATTTGTTTAAGTAGGCTTAGCCTACCGGTCGTTTGTTTAAATTAGAGAGAACACGCACCTATTTTT